CTCAAAACTGTTCTAGCTACAGCTATAATGTGTATACTAGACAATATATCCATTTTCAAGGGCGGCTGATTCCGTATAGAGAGTGAAATCTTGAATTATAATAGAAAAAGAAAAATCACAAAAGAAATAGAAAAAGAAAAGAAGAGGTTTTGTATATTGTTTTCCTTTTTCGATATGAAAGAAGTGTTCCATAGAGAAGCCAAGTGTCCCTTCTGAGCGTGTCTACTGTTCGATTGATCTTACTTAATAGAATCAGCTATTTTACTGTTATCTTATCTACTCCTTCATTAGCTACTGAGCATGGCTAAAGTTAAAAGATCCCTCTAAATCCACAGGAAGTTCTTCAGTATGAGCCATGAAGGAAATTGTTTATTTACAAAGAGCTTTTCCATTATTCCTTTCCCTGCTCTAATGGAAATTATCTACCCATTTGTCATTGTAGATGATCGACTAAAGTGAACGTCATAACCTGGTTTGTCATAGCTTGACAAGAAGCCCTCAGTTGTAGTAACTTAAAATGTCAAGTACCGATCGTAATTTGGTTTAGTTCCGCTATGGATTCTAGCCAGATGACACGCTACATTAGGTTAACGTGAGCTTATTTGATTGACCTTCCCGGAACGAACGAATTAATATCATAGATCCATTTCACTGCCCTTTAAAAGACTTAACTGACAAAAATGAAAACAACTTTCCTGACTTAGACAACACTTTAGCATGGCCTTATTAAAGCTTTTAATATAAGTTGATCCTACTTCCAACCACTCATAAATCAGTGGACCCTTGTCTGACACAGGGCCGATATAGCTGACTAGTGACGGCTACATAACCCGAGGGGGGGGGGGGGGGGGGGGGGGGGAGGGGGGGGGAGGAGGGGGGGGGGAGGTGGGGGGCTTCATGTATGAAGGGTGGGGATAATAGTGAAAAAGATACATTTAACCTCTAAAAGATATAGTTTGGGCGTGGTCTCGTCTGCTTTATCATTAACCCGAAAATATACGACCTTGAATTAAGATTAAACTAGCGCAGTTTTGATATGATAAATAGACGGGAAGCTTCAGTTATATTGTTGACATTTACAGGCCAAGAATATTAATGTACTTATAACTGATATGCGGTTATGTTTGGGGCCACCAATTGCGTATCCTTAAAAGATACCACACGTGTTGAAAACCAACAGATTTTCCTTTTCACAATAGATCAATATTCATACTAAATAAAGCTTAACTAACTAGCTCTTTGAAAGGAAGGCCAATGTCTAATGAATTAATACTGAATACTGTATATTGAACAGATAGCGACTCAAGTAATGGAATTGTAGTAAATTGGAAAGACAGTAAACCAATCCCAGGCAAACCAACATGTTATAAATGTTATTTATTGTAGCATACTTCTTTCTAAACACAAAAAATATCCTCTTAATTTTGCCATTTCTTTTTTAAGAACAAATAGGTTGTCTTCTCGTGTTTATCAAAATAATAAAAATGTCACGTGTCTGTACTAGAGAGCAATTCATTTTGTTTTCATCTAAAATTGTTGATCTCGAAACGGGTTGTAGAAAGTGTGTTTGATCTGCAGTAAATTTCACCCATTGGTTCAAAATGGTCATTCATTTGATCTCAAGGTTTTCCTCCCTCTCAAAAATTGACTTCTAAATTCCAGTTAGGATCCAGTGGAAGAAAAGCCGCTTTGTGCGGGAACCACTGTTAATTTCCAATTATTTATTTGTTTCACTTATTTATTATATTTTCATTTATAAATACAAATAACAGAATGAATTTCCATCGCCGGGGATAAGCGATCCATTTATCTATCATCGATAATACAATGTCAAAGAACTGAGTATAAAACAACAAAGTGCATTGAGATTAGTAGATTTAAACTAAATAAGTAGAATAAATCGAATGGATATGGAAATGAATTCAATATTAGTTACCGCCTCCAAAATCCGACTCGCTCGTTTGGATATCAGCGTTCACTATATTTTTTCGCTGCTGGATTCAAGAGATGAGGGTAGGTTTTTGATCACAAATATTCAGCATCAAAGATATTAAAAGTAAACAAGACGATATACGAAAAGAAAAATCATTTTAAAATCCTGAATAAATTGATTTCAGTAATAATCTGCAAGCTATAAAGATTTGCATTGATTTCGATGGTACGTTTGTGTAGTTATAATCCAGGATATCTATTGTTCTTTGATATATATATCATTAAGTATCTTAATTAATATCAAGAAAGATGCACGATTACTTGGTCGTGCGCTGTTTACTCATTAGTGGCAGCTGCTGGATCATGCCTTGCAACTAGCTTTACTCAGTTCTAGCATAGTTAATTAACTATGGTTCTAGACTAATATCCAACCCAATACCACTATTATCATCATCATTCAACATCAAAGACAGTGACATTCTAATTGGAATTTAGGAGTTAATTTTTGCGAATAGAGGAAAATTCCGGGGAACCAGGAGAAAAAAACCCTCGAAGCACAGGAGAGAACCAACAAACAACCCTCAAAGCACAGGAGAGAACCAACAAACAACCCTCAAAGCACAGGAGAGAACCAACAAACAACCCTC